CCCTGGTGTTTTAACACTTGTGTGGTGGCACAGTCCTAGCTGCAGTGCCATCTCTGAGCCCCTGCCCACAGCTGTCTGATGGAGCACACTCCTCACAGATCGTGGCGTGCCTGGTATATGGGGTCTGTCATGGAGAATAGTTACTGGAAAGCACAGAGCCCAACAAGGCACACAGTGCAAGGACAAGAGTCCAGGGTCCCAGTCTGCAGCAAGGACAAGTCCACCTGGATACAAAGAGAAAAATTACTGTGAGAGGCGGTGTGATCTCTAGCCTTGGAGATTTTCAAAACTCACCTGGGCAAGGCACTGAGTAACCTCATCAGATTTTGAAGCCAGTCATGCTTTGAATAGGGGGTAGGTTTAGAGCCCCGAAAATTGTCTTCTAAGTGAAATTATTTCATGAGAGAAGAGTTAAAGACGTGTGCTGTGCATTTCAGCTCAAATTCTGCATTTGTCATGGGAAATGATATGGGCTTACCTTCCAACAGAAGCACCTGTGAGAATAAGTACCTGCTTTTATAAAAGATTGAAGAGTCATTGTCTTCTTACCTTAAATAAAAGAAAGCAGATCATCTTCCCAGCTTTATTTGGATTCACCTACCCACTGCAACATGTACCATTTGTCAAGCTGTACAATTTGCACAGGAAAAGCTGATGTCAATCCAGCAGAACAAACACCTTCCATGCTTTTTGCCTAGAAGCAGCAGCTTATAATAGACACAATTGAGAGTTGGGAGGGTGATTTGTGATCAGCCACACTGGGGAGACCTTTGGGAGCATAAGATGTGATGCTGCTGCAGTACTAGTATTACATCAATAACTTGTTTCTTGGTTTCTGTTTGATTCCATCTCATCCTCAGTCCTTCTGTGGTCATTTTTTGATCTTCTATAATCCTCAAGTTATTTATACCTTCTTTCAGTCTCAGAGATTTCATCTGAGTACATCTCTCAAAAATCAAGCTAAGATGAGAGGGAAGTCTGATGTCAAGAAGGCAAAGAAAAATACTTTGGTGTGTAGCACACTAGCTTAGGGAACAGTGTTGATAGTTGAACTTGTGTTACCCCTCCCAGAAGCCAGTTCCATCATTTCTGTGCTCTGACAGCTAGAGATGCTTCCCTTATTTCCAGCACCAAGAACTTAACGTCACTTATGTTGACTCCCCGTTGTTGCCTTATGTTCTTGCAGAGCTCACCATCCAGTAGCTATGACTGAGCTTCAGCACATCGTGCAAGAACAAATACATTTGCATTATTAAGAGAGCTACAGGAAGGTATGAGTACCCATAATTTGTATAGTAGAAACCTGAACTCAGGAACTACTCTGCTGTAACTCTGTGCATCAGGTACCAGATCTTGCTTTAGTGTAGCTACACGCAGCCAGGAACACAGTGTGCCCCATAACAGCAGCTAAAGTCACATCAGTCCAACATGGTATTTCTTGAATGCAGTGCAGATTATGACTAATTTATGTTGATGGTTTTGTCCCTAGACAGACAACTTAATATGATACAAATTCATTACTGAAGACTAAAGCAAAGAGCTGTGTTTGTGGAGTAAAGTGCACAATCACTGGAATGGACAGCTTTAAAGCTTTGTTCATAAATGCAAGGTCTTAAAGGTGGCTCTGTTTCATTAAAGCTGCTGTGCAAATGTGAATGCTCCAGGATTTCAGCTTCTATTGGTTTGATTTGAATATTTTCAGAGAGAAGAATTCAGGAGAGAAAAGCAGGAGAAAACCGTATTCCAGATTTGGAAAGCTGTGACCTGTGTCAGGTCAGTACATTCTGTGCCAATTCTCCTGTATATTCCTGGTTTCTTGGCTTTTTCTTTAGTCCTTATTTTTGTACAATAATAAATCTTATTAAGTGAGCAAAAAGCTTGATTAGTAAAAGGTGAATACAGAGGAATACACTGAATTCAGAAAACTCTAATTTAGGAGAAGCTAGAAATGGACTTTCAGACCCTTCCTTAGTACAGAGCTGGCTGTAACCACGGGGATTATTTGCAAGAAGTCCAGTTGTATTGCTTGTGTGAATGGTGCAGAGGGATTAGAGGAAGGAACAGGGCAGAGCTGAGACTGTGACAGGAGATAATCTACATGAGCTGCCCCTTGGAGGGGCAAGACCCTGAGACTAATCCCCATCTGTGTAGTGTGGGTCATCCATGCACTGTTCATGTCTCAGTGAGTGAGTACTCTGGCCTTCTAGGCAGAAGGCTCATCAGCTCTCAGTGTGTCAGCACAGAGGAGAGGCGTGCTAGGTGTGTGTACGTGAGAAAGGACACTTCATGAGATGTCCTGCTTACCAAACCTGATTTCCTTTTATGACAGGGTAACCCACCTAGTTGATCAAAGGAAGCCAGTAGATGTAATCTTTTTGGATTTCAGTAAAGCTTTTGATACTGTCTCTCACCATATCCTTCTGGACAAGCTGTCCAGCACAGAGATGAATAAATGCATCGTGCAGTGGGTGAGACTCAGGGGAAACCTCATTGCAGTTACAACTTCCTCGGGGAGCCCCTGGTGGTCTAGGGGGTAAAGGTGCTGCACTGTCACCGCTGAGACCTGGGTTCGATTCCCGGTCAGGGCCCCTCCCCGGGCAGATGGAGCTCGTTAGCCCTGTAAGGCAATCCATCTACGTCCTGAGGACCTCGCTGCCACCGTCCAAGCTCGCTTGGCCCCGGCAGATGAACCTCAGGATTAAAGGGTGGGCTCAGTTCCGCGCACACTGTGTCTCACCTAAAAAATCCAATGTGCAGGCTGGAAGGTGGAAAGACCTTCCCCGGTTCTTCGTTCACGAAGAC